TGACCTAAACGACAACAGACTGTTTTAAAAAGTATGGATTTGAAAAGTTAAAGGGTTGGTCAGCAAAAATGGTTGTTCTAAAATCAGATGAAGATAGGGTTTCTCGAGGAGTGGGGGCATCTAGGAATCGCTATCAAACCCCAATTTTGACCAAATACATTACGCCGAAGTGTTGACCTAAACGACAACAGACTGTTTTAAAAAGTATGGATTTGAAAAGTTAAAGGGTTGGTCAGCAAAAATGGTTGTTCTAAAATCAGATGAAAAGAGGGTTTCTCGAGGAGTGGGGGCATCTAGGAATCACTATCAAACCCCAATTTTGACCAAATACATTAGGCCGAAGTGGTGACCTAAACGACAACAGACTGTTTTAAAAAGTATGGATTTGAGAAGTTGAAGGGTTGGTCAGCAAAAATGGTTGTTCTAAAATCAGATGAAAAGAGGGTTTCTCGAGGAGTGGGGGCATCTAGGAATCACTATCAAACCCCAATTTTGACCAAATACATTAGGCCGAAGTGTTGACCTAAACGACAACAGACTGTTTTAAAAAGTATGGATTTGAAAAGTTAAAGGGTTGGTCAGCAAAAATGGTTGTTCTAAAATCAGATGAAAAGAGGGTTTCTCGAGGAGTGGGGGCATCTAGGAATCACTATCAAACCCCAATTTTGACCAAATACATTAGGCCGAATTGTTGACCTAAACGACAACAGACTGTTTTAAAAAGTATGGATTTGAGAAGTTGAAGGGTTGGTCAGCAAAAATGGTTGTTCTAAAATCAGATGAAAAGAGGGTTTCTCGAGGAGTGGGGGCATCTAGGAATCACTATCAAACCCCAATTTTGACCAAATACATTAGGCCGAAGTGTTGACCTAAACGACAACAGACTCTTTTAAAATGTATGGATTTGAAAAGTTAAAGGGTTGGTCAGCAAAAATGGTTGTTCTAAAATCAGATGAAGATAGGGTTTCTCGAGGAGTGGGGGCATCTAGGAATCGCTATCAACCCCCAATTTTGACCAAATACATTCCGCCGAAGTGTTGACCTAAACGACAACAGACTGTTTTAAAAAGTATGGATTTGAAAAGTTAAAGGGTTGGTCAGCAAAAATGGTTGTTCTAAAATCAGATGAAAAGAGGGTTTCTCGAGGAGTGGGGGCATCTAGGAATCACTATCAAACCCCAATTTTGACCAAATACATTAGGCCGAAGTGTTGACCTAAACGACAACAGACTGTTTTAAAAAGTATGGATTTGAAAAGTTAAAGGGTTGGTCAGCAAAAATGGTTGTTCTAAAATCAGATGAAGATAGGGTTTCTCGAGGAGTGGGGGCATCTAGGAATCGCTATCAAACCCCAATTTTGACCAAATACATTACGCCGAAGTGTTGACCTAAACGACAACAGACTGTTTTAAAAAGTATGGATTTGAAAAGTTAAAGGGTTGGTCAGCAAAAATGGTTGTTCTAAAATCAGATGAAAAGAGGGTTTCTCGAGGAGTGGGGGCATCTAGGAATCACTATCAAACCCCAATTTTGACCAAATACATTAGGCCGAAGTGTTGACCTAAACGACAACAGACTGTTTTAAAAAGTATGGATTTGAGAAGTTGAAGGGTTGGTCAGCAAAAATGGTTGTTCTAAAATCAGATGAAAAGAGGGTTTCTCGAGGAGTGGGGGCATCTAGGAATCACTATCAAACCCCAATTTTGACCAAATACATTAGGCCGAAGTGTTGACCTAAACGACAACAGACTGTTTTAAAAAGTATGGATTTGAGAAGTTGAAGGGTTGGTCAGCAAAAATGGTTGTTCTAAAATCAGATGAAAAGAGGGTTTCTCGAGGAGTGGGGGCATCTAGGAATCACTATCAAACCCCAATTTTGACCAAATACATTACGCCGAAGTGTTGACCTAAACGACAACAGACTGTTTTAAAAAGTATGGATTTGAAAAGTTAAAGGGTTGGTCAGCAAAAATGGTTGTTCTAAAATCAGATGAAAAGAGGGTTTCTCGAGGAGTGGGGGCATCTAGGAATCACTATCAAACCCCAATTTTGACCAAATACATTAGGCCGAAGTGTTGACCTAAACGACAACAGACTGTTTTAAAAAGTATGGATTTGAGAAGTTGAAGGGTTGGTCAGCAAAAATGGTTGTTCTAAAATCAGATGAAAAGAGGGTTTCTCGAGGAGTGGGGGCATCTAGGAATCACTATCAAACCCCAATTTTGACCAAATACATTAGGCCGAAGTGTTGACCTAAACGACAACAGACTGTTTTAAAAAGTATGGATTTGAAAAGTTGAAGGGTTGGTCAGCAAAAATGGTTGTTCTAAAATCAGATGAAAAGAGGGTTTCTCGAGGAGTGGGGGCATCTAGGAATCACTATCAAACCCCAATTTTGACCAAATACATTACGCCGAAGTGTTGACCTAAACGACAACAGACTGTTTTAAAAAGTATGGATTTGAAAAGTTAAAGGATTGGTCAGCAAAAATGGTTGTTCTAAAATCAGATGAAAAGAGGGTTTCTCGAGGAGTGGGGGCATCTAGGAATCACTATCAAACCCCAATTTTGACCAAATACATTAGGCCGAAGTGTTGACCTAAACGACAACAGACTGTTTTAAAAAGTATGGATTTGAAAAGTTAAAGGGTTGGTCAGCAAAAATGGTTGTTCTAAAATCAGATGAAGATAGGGTTTCTCGAGGAGTGGGGGCATCTAGGAATCGCTATCAAACCCCAATTTTGACCAAATACATTACGCCGAAGTGTTGACCTAAACGACAACAGACTGTTTTAAAAAGTATGGATTTGAAAAGTTAAAGGGTTGGTCAGCAAAAATGGTTGTTCTAAAATCAGATGAAAAGAGGGTTTCTCGAGGAGTGGGGGCATCTAGGAATCACTATCAAACCCCAATTTTGACCAAATACATTAGGCCGAAGTGTTGACCTAAACGACAACAGACTGTTTTAAAAAGTATGGATTTGAGAAGTTGAAGGGTTGGTCAGCAAAAATGGTTGTTCTAAAATCAGATGAAAAGAGGGTTTCTCGAGGAGTGGGGGCATCTAGGAATCACTATCAAACCCCAATTTTGACCACCTACATTAGGCCGAAGTGTTGACCTAAACGACAACAGACTGTTTTAAAAAGTATGGATTTGAGAAGTTGAAGGGTTGGTCAGCAAAAATGGTTGTTCTAAAATCAGATGAAAAGAGGGTTTCTCGAGGAGTGGGGGCATCTAGGAATCACTATCAAACCCCAATTTTGACCAAATACATTACGCCGAAGTGTTGACCTAAACGACAACAGACTGTTTTAAAAAGTATGGATTTGAAAAGTTAAAGGGTTGGTCAGCAAAAATGGTTGTTCTAAAATCAGATGAAAAGAGGGTTTCTCGAGGAGTGGGGGCATCTAGGAATCACTATCAAACCCCAATTTTGACCAAATACTTTAGGCCGAAGTGTTGACCTAAACGACAACAGACTGTTTTAAAAAGTATGGATTTGAGAAGTTGAAGGGTTGGTCAGCAAAAATGGTTGTTCTAAAATCAGATGAAAAGAGGGTTTCTCGAGGAGTGGGGGCATCTAGGAATCACTATCAAACCCCAATTTTGACCAAATACATTAGGCCGAAGTGTTGACCTAAACGACAACAGACTGTTTTAAAAAGTATGGATTTGAGAAGTTGAAGGGTTGGTCAGCAAAAATGGTTGTTCTAAAATCAGATGAAAAGAGGGTTTCTCGAGGAGTGGGGGCATCTAGGAATCACTATCAAACCCCAATTTTGACCAAATACATTACGCCGAAGTGTTGACCTAAACGACAACAGACTGTTTTAAAAAGTATGGATTTGAAAAGTTAAAGGGTTGGTCAGCAAAAATGGTTGTTCTAAAATCAGATGAAAAGAGGGTTTCTCGAGGAGTGGGGGCATCTAGGAATCACTATCAAACCCCAATTTTGACCAAATACATTAGGCCGAAGTGTTGACCTAAACGACAACAGACTGTTTTAAAAAGTATGGATTTGAGAAGTTGAAGGGTTGGTCAGCAAAAATGGTTGTTCTAAAATCAGATGAAAAGAGGGTTTCTCGAGGAGTGGGGGCATCTAGGAATCACTATCAAACCCCAATTTTGACCAAATACATTAGGCCGAAGTGTTGACCTAAACGACAACAGACTGTTTTAAAAAGTATGGATTTGAAAAGTTAAAGGGTTGGTCAGCAAAAATGGTTGTTTCAAAATCAGATGAAGATAGGGTTTCTCGAGGAGTGGGGGCATCTAGGAATCGCTATTAAACCCCAATTTTGACCAAATTTTGTTCACCGCAGTCAAATTTTTGAATAGAGAGGCCAAAAAGGTGTTTTGTAAGTTTTTTTGGATTGTTTTGACCAAAAAGTCTGGGTTTTACCGTAAAATAGTGGCAGAAGGGTATGAGAATTAAAAGAGAAAAGGTTAAATTCCTGGCTGCCGATAGTGTCATTTTTCGAGTTTTTTAGTTTTCTGTAATGAAAGCTAATTTTAGAAATTAAAAACCTTTTTGTGAACTAAAGGAAAGCTTCGCGTTTTTTGTCCGACTCTAGTTTACCTAAAAGGTCACGTCTTTGGTACCATTTCACGATTTTGACCATCTCTAAAATGTTGGTAAAGACGCATTTAGCGCCACCATGCACCACAGTTGAGAGGGGAGCGTGCGCCGAAAAAACGCAGTTGTTTTTGTTAAAACGTTCCAAAAAGTGCTCTAAAACGCTCCAAAAAGTGCTCTAAAACTCAAGTTTTTTGCAATTTGTTTTCGCCTCCAGCGCAAACAAAGAAGCATAACGGGGCCTTATAGTTCCCATAGAGAGCTCTGATGTTCAATTGGGTTGATCTAAAAGGAATCAGGTCAATAACTTTTTCAAATATTTTTTCTAGAAAATCCGCTGTTCCTCGGGAGAAATCTTGATCCGCCCCTGGTAATGATTTGTTTTTTTTTCATGTGTAATATATTTTTTGATGTTTATGTTTAGGTACTGGTTCTTTCGATTTATTAGCCAAGAGACCCCCTAGAAGCATAAAGAAAAGAGCAAGTCGAATCAAGTTCGACGATTAGTGCCTTCAAATTGAATTATTGATCTGTTTCTAATGAACCTTGTTGATGCTTTTCTTGAATTGAATTCACTGAGAAACTGTAATTTAATTCAGAAAATACAGTTGGACAGTAATTGTACCTGTATGTTGCGCTTGATCATCTTTTGATTTGAGAATAATTCAATAAAGATTATTTTCGAATTCGAATAAAATTTATTTGCAGTTGAGTAATTGAAACGAGTTTTTGTAGAGTTCGATCCGATTGGCTGAAAGAAAATTGTCCCTCAGTTTAGTAAGTAATGGTTTTCGATATTAACATCATCCTAATGTATTTTTTCGATGTTTTGCGTAACAATTATTGTGAAATCTTAAGTAGGTTAATCTTCTGATTAAATGAAATGCGGGATTAGCTGCAAAATGGATGTCATCAACGAATGCTAAAAATGTATCTTGAGTGGTTGGAGAAGTTCATGTGAAGGAAGGCGATATGGTTTGCTGATTGAGAAAGTAAATGGAGTGCTCAAAAATGAGTCTGCAAAATTATGCTATTTACACAAGCAGACTATTATGTTACAAATAAGGTATCATGGATCTGTAGCGTACAGGTAGGAAAGGAAACCCACAACAAAATAAGAGGGTTCGATGAACTTTTTCGTATGCTAGTAAAACTGCGTTCGCTTCATAAAATGTTAGTTGTTAATTTTTTTTTTCAAATTCACTGGTACTGCTAATGCGTCATAATTGGCTTGCGTCACTTAGCAATTATGTAGACTGATAATTGGCGTGCGTCACTTAAGAAATTTTGTAGACTCAAAGTTTTTCCCAGTAACGTTATCAGTCATATTTTTGCTTGCTTGTATTTTTTGCCGTGTTGTTTTTGCCAAAACTTCTATAAAATGAAATATTTTCATGCGTATTGGGCACTTCCCAAAATAGGTACAATTAGGCCAAACTATTAACTGTGAAAGGACGCAATTTTTGTAATTAACATAAGTGGTGATGACTTTTTCTCTGTTTTTTTTTTGCGGCAAAAAGTAACAATTTTTGCACTGGCTTAAAGTTGATTTTGCGTTTTGACTTTTGGTTTCTTTATGCTTCCGATTAGCAAGAGTTATCAAATCGGAGTTTTGACTTTTTATTGATTAATTACTTCAATAGTTTCTGATGCTGCTGACGTGCTCAATTTCTTGCAGCTTCAAATTTAACTATTTACTACTAGTAATTACTGGATACTACTAGTAATTATAGAATGTCTACATTAATTTTTGCTGATGGTTTTTTGGCTTCATGGTTGGCGCCTTTAGCGCTGTCGGCTTAGTTTCTGAATCAAGTATATCACCTTGCATACGCAAATAATTTACCATTTGTTGATCCTGTTTTTCCATAAGATATTGTCAAATGAGTTCCGTGATTTTCACCCTATTGAGTGCAGGCTTCAATTCTGTCGGCTTATTTTCCTAATAATTTGTTTCCCTGATATTTCCGGTTTTGTTTTTTGAGATCGATAAGACCCTGGAACTTTTTTGTAAAATACTACCAGGATTGATTAGGAAGCTTAAATGAAGTCCTGTTTGAGAAAAACAGGTATTATGAAAATGGGATCGTTTTTTTTTAAATTTTTTCATTTACTTTTTTGATACGCTTTGGAAAAAGTTGTCGCTTTTTTCAAAATTTTTTACCAATAGAAAGTCCGCCCACTCCCCTGTGTACATGAATAATCCCCTAGTCTCTTTTTAACTTACCACACTTTCTACAGACTTCAAAAAGTGTGTGGGGAACTTTTAATCTTTATTTTTGGATTTTGACATTTTCTCACAAACTACCCTCTCAAATCTGGGATTTTGGGCTCAATGGATAACCCAACGCCCAAATTATTTTAACAAAAAGTTATGACCTTCGGAAAAGTCAATTTTTTGGGGAATATTTGATTCAAGTTTCTGAATTCTTATTTCCGCGAAAACTAGCCTCCCGAATCTAGCGTTTGGAGAAGAGCCTAAAAGTTATGTCTTGTTATTTTTGCGTCGTTCAAAAAGATAATTTGAAGTATGATATTTAATAATAAATTATACGCGAAAGTAGAAGAAACGCGTGGCGAAGGGTAGAAAGAATATAAAACAAAAATCAACTTTATAAAGCAATAAACATCAGAGTAAAGGATTCGAAGTCGCTAATTCTTTTTTTCTTAATTATTAGCAAGTTTCTTTTATTATTTCGCAAACAAAAATGAAGAACGGCAAAAACAGGAGCTCCAATAAGCGGCAAAATGAAAAATCCAAAAACATGCAACAAAATCAACTTCAAAAAGCATTAAACGTTTGAGACAGCAGGATTCGAAGTTGAACCTCTGAGCCAGAAGTCAATTGCATTTACCACTTAGCCCTGTTGTCTAAGTGTTTCTTTTTTATTATTAGCCCCCGGACCAATTCACAGCATTCACCCTTTGGACTGTTTTCCGTGGGGCAGGGGGGAGGTTTCGATGTCAATGCCATCCGCCTCCTCAAGGTGGGACGGACCGGCTGCGGCATAATGGATGACCTTTCTCCCCCACGGAAAAAAGGCTCAAGGGTGAAATGTAGTCAATAAAAAAAGAAACGCTTAGACAACAGGGCTAACTGGTAGATGCAATTGACTTCTGGCTCAGAGGTTCAATTTCGAATCCTGCTGTCTTGAATGTTAAAAAATGCTTATTGAAGTTGACTTTGTTGCATGTTCTTGGATTTCTCATTTTTGCCGTTTTTCATTTTTGTTTGCGAAATCCGACCTTGTCCCTGTGTAATCTATCTATTATATGTTTAAATGCGGGCTTCACTATCTCGCCTTTGCTGAAATTTTCTCACCATATTGTTTTCTTTGAACGTTTAACGAAAAGTTTTTTCACGTTTAAACTATATCGTAATTGCAATGGTTAAAAATGTTTCTTTCGATTTTCCAGTTTGATTTCAAGGATTATTTGATCAATTTTGAAACTAGTAACCCAATAGTGTTATGATGCTCTCAGGGTTCATCCAGGGTTGCGACTTTGGTCTCCATTTTAAAACACCCAAATCTTTTTAGTTTACAAGATAAGACGATTTTTTCATTTTTTCAAAAATTTTCAAAAAACTTAAACTAAAAAATAATCTAAAACGTTGAAATTCTCAACCCTGTAGTTGGGTGCTGTCAGGGCACTTCCAGGGGTTGCTACTCTTGTCTTAAAATTTGTCTGCTCAAGTCTTTTTAGTTTTATAAAGTTTCTCAACATTTGAAATTTCCAACCCTGCAGTTGGGTACTGTCAGTTGCCAATCTTGCGTCCAATGCTTTTAGTTCCGAGATGTGACGTTTTTTGTCAATTTTTCAATAAACATAGAGCTTGAAAAATTTTATGGTTTTCAAAGTTTGAATTAAAAAAACTTAATAGAAAAAACTGTTCAAAATTTGAAATAACCAAATCTGTAATTGGGTGCTGTCAGAGTACACTCAAAGATTGCAAATCTTTTTCCTTTATTTGCGGTTTTTCATGAGTTCTCAAAAAATTCGGTGCAACGGAAGTGCGTTACACGCTAGTAACCAGGTAAGCCAGCCTGGTGGATGATTTTTTGAATCCGTGGTTTGTTTGATTCGTCGGCAAACGAGGTCCGTGGTTTGCATAATCTGGAGGTCCGTGATATTATTAACCTGCAGGTCGGTGGAGGTTTGTTTTATTTTTGACGCTTTTGAGAGTCCATTTTTTTCCTTCATGTTTGCGAAGTTGAGCGTCGCTTTGTTAAAAACATATCTAGATTCTAAATATGAAAATTTGATAATGTGAAAGTAGTGGAAAAGTAGACACCAGGTCTACGTGGCTAAGGCAATTGAATTCTAGGCGAGAGGTACAAATTCGAATCTTGCAATCTGTAATGATGTTTTATCATTTTTGAAGCATATTCTTGTCTTTTCTTGTAATTTTTAGAGCCTTTGGATATCACATTAAAAAAATCAATGACTTGAGCTCGGATTAAATAAAGGTTCACTTCAATCTTCATGTATCAATTCTGTCTATAAAATTTATGTATTTTAGCTTGAGGAATTTTATATTTGATTGGTGTTTAGAGCATTGGTGGATGTTTGGTTTCAGTTTGTCATGGATGAGACATCAGAGGCGATCAGTTTAATAGAGTCGCCTGAAAGTAACAACCAAGCAATGACTGACTCCGCTTCGGAAGACGAGCAAACTGTTTCCTCTACCACATCCACGACAACAATTGCTAGTTCGGTTTCCACTCACACACGTGTCCCTCCCGCAGTAGCCATCGCACGACAGGTTCTAGTGAATTTGATAGCTTCAGTCAGAAATAATAGGAGATAATAGGTGAAATTTCACAAGCTCTCATTATTAAGTGTTGCTGAACGTAGTGAAGTAAATTAGATAAGGTTTTTTTTTCACGTCTATTTTAGGCTTGTGTTTTTTTTAGCGGAGGCATTAATTTAACATGGTGTTCACTTGTTCAATTGCTTAAAAGTCATTACCTCCTGATTTTTTTTGTTATAACCTTTTTTTCCAATTTTTGTCTTGTTTGTGGTTAATTGTTTTCAGAACTTAATTAGTTCCGTTTAATATATCAAGTTAACAGCTAAAAATATAATATACGATGAATTGTTTATTGAGAAGTTACTTGAACTTTCATCATCTGCTCGAGTTTTCTGACTCAAATTGACCAAACTGCCTCAGGTTTCCCTCTCATCTCCTCACATGACGAGACCGAGAGCTAATATGAACGTATCCAATGTATCCTCAAGTATCCCTGCTAACTCACACCCCCAAATGAACAGGAAGAGATCCTCTCCTAATCGTCAGTCGGGTTCAAATGGATCTCCCTCGGCCATATCGAGCAGCGGTGACCACATTCGAACCCCGCATCGCAACTCAAACGGAACCAGTAGCTCCAATGAGTCGCTTGTCGGTTTGGTCAGTACAAGTACGAAATGCTCTTCGCCGGCAAAAAATCACGCTCCGAGGAACCGCAACCACCATTTAGCTGCGAATAGGTCTGCAAATGGAGGCGCTCAGAGTAGCTCAAGCGCTCCATCGCTCCCGGTTGCACTTCACCAAAGTGCGTCCGTCCCGTCGTCTGGAGACCGAATCGTTCCCGTAAGTTCGTCGGCTGCTGGCTCCCAAAGCGTCCCGTTCTTCATTAATGTAACTCCAGTACACGGAGATGGGCCAGAGGAAGGCAGTGCGGATAGTTCTCCGTCTGAAACGAATTTAACGACATCGAGAACCCAGGCGTCAATTCATAATTGGCAGTCTATGAAAATGAGCATGGCAGAACGCCTTGCATTTCTCTTCAATAATGAGACTCTAAGTGACGTTAAGTTTCTAGTGGGACGTGGATCGGCGCAACAGAGAATTCCCTCGCATAAGTTTATACTCTCAATTGGCAGTGCAGTGTTTAATGCCATGTTCAATGGATCTATGGCTACTAACGCTAGTGAAATTGACCTCCCGGACGTGGAACCAGCTGCTTTTATGTTTCTCCTCAAGTTTCTATATACAGATGAGGCGCAAATTGGCCCCGACACTGTAATGACTACACTGTACACTGCCAAGAAGTATGCTGTACCCGCCCTTGAATGCCAATGCGTCGATTTCCTCAAACGAAATCTTAACGCCGAAAATGCGTTCATGCTTTTGTCACAAGCTCGGTTGTTCGACGAACAGCAACTCGCTGATTTATGCCTGGAGACTATAGATAAATGTACAACTGAGGCTATAAATGCTGAGGGGTTTGTAGACATTGACCTTGAGACACTGTGCTCCGTGCTTCGTCGGGATACTCTGTCAATACGAGAGTGCAAGTTGTTCCAAGCCATCGTTCGTTGGGCCGATGAGGAATGTCAACGACAACAAATCGCGTCGACTGCAGAGAACAAACGACAAGTGCTGGGAGAAGCGACGACTCTGATTCGGTTCCCTCTCATGTCGGTCGAGGAGTTCGCTTCATGTGCACAGACGAAGATTCTGCAAGACAAGGAGATAGTCAATCTGTTTTTGTATTTCACGTGCAATCCGAAGCCGAAGGTGGAGTTTGTGGATCGACCCAGGTGTTACTTGTCTGGATGTGAATATACTCTGACCAGGTTCAAACAGGTCGACTGCAGGTGGGGATACAGTGGCACTCCGGACAAGATAAGGTAGCTAAATTTTCGACATTTTTTCAAATTGAAACCAATAAATGAAATGATTTGGTACCCTGATTCAGTTTTTATGCGAATCTTATACTCATTTATGCCTTAGCAAGTTTTTCGAGATTTACATACCCGTTTTTGGTGTTTAAGATCAAAAAACTACTTATCATGTTAACAGGAAAATTAGAGTCGTTATTGTACCTTCGACGTTTCTTGCTTGAGTGTCAATGAACACTGAAAACATTTTTTACCTTAGTTTTTTATACGAATTTGAAAAATATAAGTATTTCCATTTATTTCTATCACTTTGAATTTGAGCTCACTGGTACGTTTCGAAGTGTCTGCAGTTGACTGTCTCTATAGGTTCCGAGTAAACCAGAAGATCCACATTGTTGGACTGGCACTGTATGGCTCCACCCAATTGCCAATGGAGTACCAAGTCAGCATTCAGGTTAGATCAAGTTTCCACAGAGTTATCTTCATCTATCTGCAAGAATTGTTTAGAATTATTGCATAATTGATTAGTGCTTCAGTTGGGATACAAGTTGATTTTGCTGGCCATTACTATTATAAGCTCAAGCAATCTTTAATATAGGGAAGCAATCATGCTAATCAGATAGTGTTAGCATAAATCAATTTTTTGTTGAATTTTTTTAAATTTCAGTTGAGCGGCTAGTGAAAATAATTTAAAAAATATAACTGTTATAATTTTATTTTTCGTAGATCGCACACGATGAGAGCGGCAAAGTATGTGGTGACAACGACACCAGTTTCTCCTCGGATGGTTCCTCCAACACCTTCCGAGTGATGTTCCGGGAACCAGTGGAAGTCAGACCCCACGCCTCATACACGGCATCCGCGACAATAGCTGTCAGTACTTTTTAGTTATACTATTCAGACGCTTCTAACTGTTTCTAAAGAAACTATTTTGTACCAATTGCTTGCGAGGTTTATTTCTTTCACTTGCGAGAACAAGTGCATCGCAAACGGGTACTGGGGCTTTTTCAACTTACCAACTTTTTCTTATGAGCCTGTAAAAAATAGAGCGTTTTTTAAAAGGAAATGTAAACTACTGTCAAGTGTAGGTTTCTAATTAGTGTTGTAGTATAGCACCTGCCTGAGGCTCAAAAGGTCCGGATTCGATTCGGACAAATTTTCGTGGAAGCTTGCAAGTGTAGTTTTACACAGTCAGTCTTCTTTTTCCAACCATTTGAACGTTGAGCGAAGTGTATCTAAATTGTAATTTTTGAGGTAGAAACTTATCTATTTTTGAAAATTCTGAAAGAACTTAATAATTTACAATCATTTTTTGTCCATGATCTATGATGCTGGTCGTTTTAATGACCGTTTCAGATGCAGAATGTCGAAGTTCGAACACATGCATGTTTTGAAAATGCCATGAAATTATTTTTAAAGCGCATTAGTTCCACTATGAAACAGCAAAAGTGTAAACGTCACGAAAAACCTGATCGACCAATAATTAAAAAAAAAACTCCAATTGTCTGTTGGCTGTGTTTTGTTTTGCTGAATCAGTTCAATTGAGTACCCAGTTTGTTGATTGTTTTGCTTTGAAATCAGTTGTTGCAAGGGTTGATTACAGCATAATTTATCCATCAGTCGCATTGTTTCTTTTTAAAAATAGCATGAATTTGGCTCCTATTTTTTTTAAATTACATGTAGATCAGCCCTGATTAGAAAACTTTAATGAAGTAACAAAACAGATTCAGTGGTCACCTATGTGTCACATCGCTTCCTTTAAAATTAAAGACTGAATTAATCATTTAAAAAATTTGTTTTGGCGCGAGGATGGATGTCCAATATCTTTGAGCCTGTTGGAAATATAACAAAAAACAGGAGGATATGTGCTTAATCTGGATTTTTTTGGAATGTTTTTTATTTTGTAACAAACCGTTTTGAATGGATTTTTGAACTAAATTGTTTTGAACGGATTTTTTAACTAAATTGTTTTGAACGGATTTTTGAAATAAATTGTTTTGAACGGATTTTTGAACTAAATTGTTTTGAACGGATTTTTGAACTAAATTGTTTTGAACGGATTTTTGAACTAACCGTTTTGAACGGATATTATTAAGAGTAATGAACGTAGTGAGTACTCTCATAGCTAACTTTCCAAATGGCATAATTCCCAAATGGCATAAAAATGGAAACTTTTCCCAAATGGCATAAGTTTCAAGTTTTCATTGTAGTTTAAACGTTTTCTATCAATTTCTAATTGTAACATTTTGTCTGTAATGAAAGCATGTGAACAAGATTTGGAATTAATTGCTTTCAAACAAATTTACGCAACAAATTTGTCGAAAAAATTGACCACAAGAAGCTTATTAATAACCGCAAGCTTATGCTTCTTGCTTTTGTTTAAAAAAATTTAGATAAAATGTCAATCAGCATTTGAATTGACAATTTGACTTATTTTCTCACATTGTTCACGAAAAAATTGATCTCGATTTTTTCAATGCAACTGTTGCATGAAACTTATGCCATTTGGGAAAAATTTTTAATTTCTATGCCATTTGAGACGTAATCATCTCATATATAGGTCTTGCTGATTTTTGTTTTTTTTTTCAGCAGTTTTGATTTTTCACGGCCTGACTTGTGATTTTTTTTAAGTTAAGTGCATTTTCATTGTTAAAAGGAAGGCAAACTCCACTATCGAGCAGCAAGCTCACGAAAAACGTGATTGACTTCTGATGGAAATTTTAATTATCAGATTTCCCAGCGAAAAAATTTTACGTATTGATCCAGTTTTCTCAAATTGGGTTAATTTTAACAAAAAAGTGTCCTTCATTAATTGTTCTACAAATTCAAAGAGCTTTAAGGTCATCTATTTTTTTTCTTCAAAATCCAAAAGTTGAAGTCTCTTGAAAAAACTAGTGAGTTTTTTTTTAAGTTTCCTTGCGTTCATTATTCTTTTCCAACTGTTAGTTGGCTGTTCTAAAAGTTATCAACCATATGAGCTCAAATTGAAAAGATAATTGACCAGCGGTCAGTTTTTGTAAAGTTATGGGCGTTTGGAAGTTAGCAATGGTAGATAATAAGCGGCGTAGGCGTAAGCGGCGAAATAATGCGGCTCAGAAATCATTCCAAATTCAACAGTTGTTTGTTCTTATCAATGCTAGACCAGAAAGCATGTCACTTTTTTGCTTCACATACCAAGTCGATTTCAATTTATTAATCAGGGATATTTTATCAAGTCTAATAAAAGGTAAGTTTATTTGCGAAGGTACAAAAAAACTCGATTGCAACTAGATTTTTTTTGTGATTTTTCAGCTTGTGTATCCGAAGTGCAACCTCGTTTCCAATGGAAAATGAGATTAAGATGTAATCACTAATGAATTACTCCAGTCATCTGACGTTGAAGACGAATGATGAGATCCAAACGATGCTTTCCTTGTTAAGTTAATTATAGCTCATCACCAAGTCGACAAAAACCAAAAAATTTATTCCCAAGTTAAAAAAAAAGAGTGATGTTTTTCTTTCGGCTATTTTGTCGAAAATTCATGCAAAAAAGCTGCGGTCGCAATTTTATTTTCTTTTGTCGTGGATAAAGCAACAGTTGTTGTTCATTAAACATGTCATTTTGTTTTGTCATACATTTGCGTTAAATATCGACTTCAATTTTGATAACCTGTACAACCAACCAATTTCAAGACAATATTGAATAATTTGCGATTAACTGAGCACCGCGTGACATTACAGTCGCGCAATATTTCACAATTTGTTCCTAATCCACTCAGTGGAACCCTAACCTCTTTGATATAGAGAACCGGAAACTGATCAAGAGTATCTTCTTAATTCCCAACCCAAAAACAACGGGATCTTAATCTGAAATACGGGTTATATTTCGAGCCATTTGACTGTTGACACCACTGGGGATTAGTATTCCACTACACACATCCGACAGTGCAAAGCTAAAACTGGCAGCTTAAGCCGCAATCGAGGTTTCTTTAAGTTGCAGTCGCTAATAATCCGACATTGATTCTGGTTAATTTTTACATTAGCGAAGATGGTGTTGTGTAATATCTTGTGAGCGTACACACGGGCACTTATTTTAGAACATAAATGACTCCTTAATGCTTGTAACTTGTTTTAGGTTCTCGCCTAGTCTTGTCAGTCTTCGTGCAAGTGCACGTTTGGACTGTTTTGTGGTTGCGATCAAACGGAATCAACTGCCTTTCTGTAATTGTTTGCAAGCCAAAGAGGGAGTGGCTATTTATTTGATAGGCCAATGGCAGCTTCAGTTTGATAACTTCTTCCTAATTTAACCTGTCAAGAGATTTATTGAGGAATTGGGAGTCTGTTAAACTGGTCCAGATCACAGGATAACCAAAGAAACGCGTGGTCTAAAGATATCGGTTTATGGCTTTGAAGACAGATTAACGCTGGCGTTTTTGCAAGAATGCTTAAGGATAACTTCCAAGAGAACTGTCTAATCGGCGATTGCTCATAAAATGATTGTCTGAAAATTTTATACAATATTATAATGAGAGACATAACTAAAGTTTCAAGTAATTTTGCGAATTTTTAAGTGAGAAAATCTTTGCATTGAAAAAACAAGTTTCTGTCCGTGGGTTTTTTTCCCGAAGCAGGTTGTTATGAAAGACTTCTTTGAAATTTTTTTTGGCTGTTTCTGGTTAAATCTAGAACGAGTACTAAATAAGCTATAATTTTTTTAACGGAATGCAAATCAACACGCATGGTAATAGGTCGGTCGGTCCACAGTGCAAATATCTAAATAAAATGATGCTGTCTCTTTTAAGATTTGTGTTTAACGGATCAAATGATCGCCTAAATCTCATCTTGGTAGAAGCTTAAATCCCAATGGACATTGAAGGTGGTTTTCACGTTATTGATCATTTTAAGTGTAACAAAAATCGACAGCTAATTTTTCAATCTTTTCCCGAATATCATAATGAATACGATGAAATAATATGATTTGATACTTATTTTTACAAGCAGCGCAGGTGTTTTATGATCAGTTACTTTTTTTCCAGCCAAAGTTAAGTTCAGTTCTCTGTTCAGTTTTGAGTTTCAGAAACTATTATTTCTATTTCAAATACCATGAGCGATACATCCGCTTAGTTGGTAATTAATATCAAGCCATTCGTGAAAGTAGTATTATTAAGCTAGCAGTTGTTTGAGGCAAGTGACACATAATCGGGAGCTCCATCGTTCGAATCACGTAGTAGACAAGATTTGTATTCCGAACGGTTGGTTTTTGTATTGCCTCGGCTTTCAATAGCTCCTTTTTTCCGTTATCGGTTGCTTGTTTGCGAAGTGCAGCTTGCCTCTTGAAATTTCATTCAAGTCAACTCACATGTTCTTGTTTCTGTTGATCACTATGATAATCGGCATCACGCTATATATGAACGCCTCTGAAAACTCAAATCAGGGTCGTTTTTTTTTCTGAAATGCCGCTATTTTATACGATACTTTAAAGCATAAGCGTAAGTTTTTGATAGCTTAAGGCTGGAAAAGTTAATATTAATATTTATCCCGCTGGAAAAGTTATTGTTATGGGTTATCCTTTATTCGATGCGTTTCAGTTTTCTTTCTTGAGAATTTTCACTCATTTTGGGCGCGTTTTTTCTGACGTTTGGAATAGAAATGAGAAATTGTTGGCAAATGGCACCCAAAAACATAGAACGTTCTTAAAAGGCGATATGTTACTCGTTCTATGAATCCTGGTTCACGAATAATGAAACTTGGGGCAAAAAATGTCGGGTGTTCAAATCGGTCGGGGAACTCTGTCTAGGAAAGCGTTTTCCCACAGTTTCGCTCGCCACAAAGCAAGTTCGTAGGGGATAGAGTGTGGTGCCCTATTAAAGCTTTATCAGACGTGATTTGGACAGCTTAAATATATTTCAAAAACCTCATCTCAGTGACGACAGAAGCAGGCCTGAACTTTTAGCTATCCAAAATAAATTACCGCTAAGGTGATTGGATGAGAAAAGAGAGGTTGGCCAAATGTTTGTAAAGAGTCATGAATGAAGAGTGAAGACTCTTATATAGGTCTTGGTAATTTTTTTGTTTCAGGAAAAGTTTTGGTGGTGTGACTTTTTATTTATTTATTTTTAAGTTCAGTTTATTTCTTTTGATTCTCAGTGGGTTCAGCCACCTATATAAAAATACTGCCAAAGAAGGAATTTCAAAAGAGTTAGTTTTTGTTGTAGGGCGCAGACAGCCACTACGGGACGAAAGGGATGCGCAAGGTGCACATAGACACTCCTGATGGGAAGATAGTGTTCCACTTCCAGCACTCGCCAGGGAACAACAACGGCACCTCAGTAGAGGACGGACAGATCCCACAGTTCATTTTCTACACCTGAGGAACAGAATGAACACAACTACAGACAGAATGAAATTAAATAAATAAATAAACTACTAACCAGCCAGCTCAGGTGCATGAAAGGGAAAGGAAAAAAAACAAAAAGTAAGGAGCTAAAGAACTCAAGGAGAGCCTTGTGACAGAAAAACCGAATGATCAAAAATTATATCAGCCACTGAAGTTTCACTATTTGAATGTCGGAAGCAAATATTACAATTAAATGAGAGCTTTCGACGGTTTTTTGGTTGGATAATTCTACTAAATAAATAAAACAACAATTAAAACTATTATAGTATAAAAATATTTAAATTTACTAACAATTTGACAGTGCAAGCTATAAATTCGAATTGCACTCATCAAACTCAACCTAATTACTATGTCTCAAAACTACATATTGAAAGTAATATCTCAATATTATACACCTCAACTATTAGGTCTCACTGTGCTCAATAATGGTTATTATTGACATATGAGAAAAAATGATAGGTTTACTTTACACTGGCTCTTTTCCCTACCATCACACAATCTCGGTATGTGATGGAATTGTTCCAGTTATGTGTTGAGAACAAAAGCCAGTTTCCAAATATAGTATTGTTTTTGCCCGGGCCCGAATCATAACCCACCTCTGGTTGGCTCGGGAACACTGAGGGATTCATCTCGAAAATGACATCGATGATGTTCACATCTGCCTTCGCTGAAGAGCGTAGCAGAGTTCCGAAGGGGACGTCTATTGATAGCTGCCCTTTCCTTGCGTTTGAGGCTCTCTAGCAGACTGAATTTGAGGTCCCGAAACGCTGGCCCCCCGAAAACTGGTACATCTGTGGCGAAATGTTTTTGAATTGAATTCCTCTAAAAAACTAGCTCATTTTTGTACTTTTTAAAATTATCACAGCAGCCTATTCCACGTAGTAATCTAGAGTTAGTTTTACATTATATTTTGAATGCCAGTGAAGACAATTTTTCTAATGAGCTGTTGTTTAAATCGTTTCAGGCGCATACTGTCCAACTAAAACTACCTTGGACTTCGAGGTATCACGTTGACTGTTAACACTGTTCTGTTAAATGATCATAAGAATTTTTTTATTTCATTGAAGCAACGATCGATTGTTTTATTTGTCGCGTTTTGCATGCGTTTTTGAGCAATGGTCAAATGCATCGTTTCCGCCAATCATTAAAACAACAATATCTGGCAACACGTTCAACTTCTGTCGTCACTTGCCTGTTGACTTTTTCTCCTTCGGTGGCCTTAACTGTTCCGTACTCTTCCGAATACTGGTCATCCGAAGTACATGTGAGCCTCCGACAATGGTTACTTTCTTCCCGTTGAATGACTTTTTCCAATCAGTTATCTGAAAAGTAGTTGCTTTCCTTAAGTCGCGGATTGGCCCATTTCTCTATTAAATTATTGCGAGTTTATCCAAGCTCAATATCCTCAGCACTTTCACCATCATGATGAACCGGCTCTACTATAACCATCATGGCAGAAACAAGATATTCGCCACCTCGAAAGACGATTGACTCGCATCGAAATTTGTCAGCGACAGCTGAACACACCATAATTTCCCGGGAAGCAGGTGGAAATCTGAAATTTGACATTTCTAAGGCGATTATAGAGGAGGCGTTTAAACCTAAGGAAGCAATTAATTTTGTCCAACTAGACTGCTAAAAGTCTTGTAATTGTTTCATGCGTTTTTGAGGGATGGTCAGTTGCATCGTTCATCGTTTTTCCGCACTGTTCCAAAAACTGGTCAAAAGAACTGCATGGGAGGCCCCGGCAATTATTACTTTTTTGCAATTGAATGACACTTAACAATCAGTTATCTGAAAATTAGTTACACTTAAGTCGCGGGTTGACCCATTTCAAGTTACCGATATTATATCTAAGCGCCATATCCTGGATCGTTACCCGCCGTGGATGAAAACCCGAGTTAAGGATAACATTTTGTTATTTTGTTGATTTCTGGTACTTTTTACTTAAGTATTATGATTTTTAAAACAGGCTATAAATATGGTGGATTAAAACCCGCGTTGATGATGTTAACTGTTAATTTGTTGATTCCTATAACTTTTTCTAAATAGGGATCATGATTTTGAAAACCTATAAATACATGAAAAACACGAGAGCAACTATCTCGTGTGCAAAACATCTTGCTCTGGTCTGTTTACTTGAGCATTACTTTCAGCTGCTTCCACATTTGTGTCGCAGTCGATTGGTCTTTGCAGCGAGTGAGTTTTGTCTATGAATTACTTCAACTCGTTCAACTATTTCAAAAGGACGAAGGAGATGGCACTAGTTAATGTAAATTGCGTTAGTTGAACCTGTTATCAAAATCCGTCATAACCGGCTTATAAATGGCTCATAACGCTTAATTATTCTTGAGAAGCTTAAACAGTTCTGAGTCTTCAGCGGGCTGTGCTAAATTTCAAAGATGTTTAAACTTCTAGTAAAGAGAATGCTAAACTGATTTTTCTCAGTTCAGTTAAATGTTCGAAGAAATGTGTTAAACGTTTGAATTGATTCTATTTTCTGTTCCCTAATTGCCAAAATCTTTCAAAGATATCACATTGTGAATGCTTTTCAAGGTTGTCATAGCATTCAGATGGTAATGTTTTGGAAAAATTAACATTCAGTAAATGTATTTTTGAGATAGATTTATTGCAACCAATAGTTTTGCCTGCTCGTATTGGTTGTTTTGCGCCACTTAATTTCATCGAAAATTTATTATTTGAAATTTTTCTCCGCGATGCAGTTAGTTGTTTTTGTTGAGTTGAGTTTTAAAATTATATTTGTAAATTTATTGAAATATTTTGCCCAAATGTTTAATATTTAACATATAATTATTGTTCTCCATGCAACCTAAAACCGAACATAAATTTAAATTTGAAGGTTGAGTTTTTCTTGTTGAATCACAAATAGAATTGATTGGCACCATATTAAAACCCTGAACATTGAAAAGTGTTAGAGGGAAGATGACTTAGTTCTAGGAAATTTCAGCCAGTTACTTCAACATCTGCAAAATAAAATTGAGATTTCAGTAGCTTAAGCCTCTACAAATTAAAGCTTTAAAATAAGTAATTTGTCTGCAATGTTGCCAAGATTTAGCCCAATTGTTTTGGTCTTTCAAAAAGTAAATGCTGCAAAAACAAACAATCTTCAACGTTGATGATCCTCGAGAGTTTTCCTTTCAGTGAAGTACTATCAAATATTGATAAATTTTTCGAATGAACATATTGAGTATGACTTCCGCGTAACAAAAGTTTAATAATCTGGAGCCACAGACCCCTGTTTTTCAAATTGAGTTATTTAATTCAAAAAGATTTTAAAATTTGTTCCAATTTAATAAATTTTCTGATTGAACACAATGAGCTGACAATAAAAATGACTTCGGCGCACCAAAAGTTTCATAATCTGGAGCCACAGACGCCTGTTTTTCAAATTGAGTCAGTTAATTCAAAAAGTTTTAAAAATTTGTTCCATATTAATAAATTTTCTGATTGAACACAATGAGCTGACAATAAAAATGACTTCCGCGGAACAAAAGTTTATGATCTGGAGCCCCAGGCCTCTATTTTTCAAATTGAGTTAGTTAATTCAAAGAGATTTAAACTTTGTTCAAAATTAAAAAATTTACGAATGAACACAATGAACGGGCTATGAGTATGACTTCCGCGTACCAAAAGTTTAATAATCTGGAGCCTTAGACCCCTTTTTTTCACATTGAGTTAGTTAATTCAAAAAGATTTAAAAGTTTGTTCCAAATTAATAAATTTTCTGATCGAACACAATGAGCTGACAATAAAAATGACTTCCGCGCACCAAAAGTTTAGTAATCTGGAGCCACAGAGCCCTGTTTTTCAAATTGAGTTAGTTAATTCAAAAAGATTTAAAATTTTGTTCGAAATTAAAAATTTTTCCGAATGAACACAATGAACGGGCTGTGAGTATGACTTCCGCGTACCAAAAGTTTAATAATCTGGAACCACAGACCCCTGTTTTCCAAATTTAGTCAGTTAATTCAAAAAGATTTAAAAATTTTTTTTAAAATTAATAATTAACATAATTAACAAAAATGACTTCCGCGCACCAAAAGTTTAATAATCTGGAGCCACAGACCCCTGTTTTTCAAATTGAGTTAGTTAAATCAAAACTTTGATCAAAACTAAAAAACATTCCGAATGAACACAATGAACGGGCTATGAATATGACTTCGCGTACCAAAAGTTTAATAATCTGGAGCCACAGACCCCTGTTTTCCAAATTTAGTCAGTTAGTTCAAAAAGATTTAAAAATTTGTTTAAAATTAATAAATTTTCTTATTGAACACAATGAACTGATAATGAAAATCACTTACGCGTACCAAAAGCTTCATAATCTGGAGCCACAGACCCCTGTTTTTCAAATTGAGCTAGTTTATTCTAAAAGATTTAAAAATTTGTTAAATATGAATAAATTTTGGAATGAACACTAAGCTGACAATGAGTTTGACTTCCGCGTACCAAAAGTTTAATAATATGGAGCCACAGTTCCCTGTTTTTCAAATTGAATTAATTAATTCAAAAAGATTTAAAAATTTGTTAAATAATAATAAAATTTCTGATTGAACACAATGAGCTGACAATGAAAATGATTTCCGCGTAACAAAAGTTTAATAATCTGGAGCCACAGACCCCTGTTTTTCAAATTGAGTTAGTTGATTCAAAAAGATTTAAAATTTGTTAAAAACTAATAAATTTTTGAAATCATCACAATGAACGGGCTATGAGTATGACTTCCGCGTATCAAAAGTTTAATAATCTGGAGCCCAGACCCCTGTTTTTCAAATTGAGCTAGTTAATTCTAAAAGATTTAAAAATTTGTTAAATATTAATAAATTTTGGAATGAACACAATAAGCTGACAATGAGTATGACTTCCGCGTACCTAAATTTTAATAATCTGGAGCCACAGTTCCCTGTTTTTCAAATTGAATTAATTAATTCAAAAAGATTTAAAATTTATTCAAAATTAAAAAACTTCGAATGAACACAATGAACGGGCTATGAGTATGACTTCCGCGTACCAAAAGTTTGATAATCTGGAGCCACAGTTCCCTGTTTTTCAAATTGAATTAGTTAATTCAAAAAGATTTAAAATTTTTTAAAATTTTTATAAAGTTTCTGACTGAACACAATTCCGCGTAACAAAGTTTAATAATCGGAGCCACAGGCCCCTGTTTTTCAAATTGAGTTAGTTGATTCAAAAAGATTTAAAATTTGTTAAATACTACTCATCACAATGAACGGGCTATGATTT